ACGAACACTAACATAGTAACACACATCGTAACAAAGTAAAGCCACATACGATCACAGCTGTTTGTTCAAGCCATACTCATGGGGCTGCTAACCAAAACAGGGACTTCACAAGAGGAAGGCCCGAGGATCTGCTGCCATGAAGTGTGGTCTCGGGCTCCTCACGAGACAGCAGTGCCGTGCCACACCGGGTCACCGTGTGTCAGAATTCACTGGATGGCACAGCCACCACATACCTACATGCAGACGATTTCTCCTCCCTGAAGGAGAGCTGGCCCCTGCCCGTCAGCCTCTGTGGGTGTACGAGGGTATCTTGATGCACACCCTCCTCTCTCTGAGTCCTCACACCCACATACCCCCATCCACCCTAATCATTGCGGTCTCATTATCCCATAGAACCGGGCAAAGCCCATCGGGCCCAGTAACCATTTAAAAGTCCTGTGTTTGGAGACGACTGGTCTTGGCATTGTTTGGAGCCCCAGGATTAGTGCAAATAGTTTATGCACTTGGCTGCTAACCAAAGTAGCAAGGTTGGAGGTTCAAGCCCACCGAGAGATGTCTCTGAGGAAAGGCCTGGCAGTCTAGTTTGGAAAAACCAGCCACGGTCACCATGTGGAAGCCAGTCCTCAGACATACACAGACATGACACACAATTGCTGCAGCAGCAACTGCTTTTTTTTTTTTTTTTTGCTTTCTACGTATTGAGAAACAGAGGCCAGAAAGCAAAGGTCAGCCCTGTGCTCAGGGATTCTGACGCCCGGGTTATGGGGTTCCACTAGCTAAGATGCCTTTCTCGGCAGCTGCTTTTATTGAATCCAGGGGCCAGGCCAGCTAGTGAGCGGGAAAGAAATGAGGTACCCAGTAGTGGTGGGATCGAGCGTTGAGGGCGTGTCTTGGTGTGGCGAGACCTGGACCCCTCTGCTCTCAGGATGATCCAGGAGGAGAAGGAGTCCGCGGAGCTCCGCGCCGAGGAGATTGAGACACGCGTGACCAGCGGCAGCATGGAGGCCCTAAACCTGACGCAGCTGCGCAAGCGCGGCTCCATCCCTACCTCGCTGACGGCCCTGTCCTTGGCCAGCGCATCCCCTCCACTCAGCGGCCGCTCCACGCCGAAGCTCACCTCCCGAAGTGCTGCCCAGGACCTGGACCGAATGGGCGTCATGACCCTGGTGAGAGTCTTTGCTGTCCTAGGGCTCTGTCTAGGGTGCTGGCCAAGGTAGGGTGGTGGGTAATAGGGTGGTAGAGCCCTGCTCTTTTCAATCGGTCTGCCTTCTCTTCCCATGACAGGTGCAGGGGCCATGCCCCCCAGGAACTCCTAGGTGTGGGTGGGGCCGGGCAGCTTCTCCCTCCCCTCTGCCTGGGATAAACAGAGTATTTAAGAAGCTCACCCAGTGCCCATCAGAGGCAGCTCCACTTACCCTCTCAAGGTGCCATGAGTTTCTATTGAGGTGTTCTCTGCTGGCAGTGCCAGGGAGAGTCTGGGAGGGCACGCAACCCTATCGTCCCATGCCCTCGGGCCACAGGGCTGTGCTTGGGGTTGGTTTGGGACACCCAGAAGGTGACTGGGCACTCACCCTTCAACTCTTTCTTCCAGCCCAGTGACTTAAGAAAGCACAGGAGGAAGCTGCTGGTGAGTGCTGCCTGATGACCCAGGTACCCATGGGCTCACTGCCCCTGCCCCTTCCCTCTCCGCCTCTTCCCCCTGGGCCCTGGAGTCTGAGCCTGCACTCAGAGAGCTCCCTGGGTCTCCCCCACCTCCACCCGCCCTGCCCCTCTTCATGCCCCTCTGCCTGGTCTGGGCTAGGTAGGCAGGCCCCGATCTCGCCCTCGGTCCCCTGACGGCCCCACTGTCTGTTCAGTCGCCAGTGTCTCGGGAAGAGAACCGAGAGGATAAAGCCACCATAAAATGTGAGACTTCTCCTCCTTCCTCACCCAGGACGCTGCGGCTCGAGAAGCTTGGTCACCCAGCCCTGAGCCAGGAGGAAGGCAAGAGGTAAGTGGGGCAGGCCCTGTCGCTGTCTGTCGCTGTCCCCCGGCCTCACAAGGTCATCTCACCCCGCCCCCTGCCCCCGAACACCCTGCACCAGACTGACCCCCCTGCTGTCTGACGCGCCACCAGGGAAGGGTGCTCCGTGTCTCCTGTGGGCACCTTTGTGTTACCTCCAACTCAGTTCTTCCTAGGGTCTGACCTCTGTCTTTCCTACTGTCATTTAAGTTTGTTTCTTCTTCCCATCCCACCCCCTCCTGGCTGTCATCTCTAGCTCCTTGGAGGATCAGGGCAGTAACCCCAGCAGCAGCAACAGCAGCCAGGACTCCTTACACAAGGGTGCCAAGCGCAAGGGCATCAAATCATCCATCGGCCGTCTGTTCGGCAAGAAGGAGAAGGGCAGGCTGGTCCAGCTGAGTCGGGATGGAGCCACGGGCCATGGTCTGTTCCCCTCCCAACTGAGGGGCACGGGATGGAGGAGGGTATACTCGGGCTGGCCTTCTCCTCCTGCCTCCTGGGCACCGGTGGGCAGAATCCATAGGCAGACAAACCAGCTCCAGGAAGCAGGTGTTTTTTGATTGGAGCAATTTCAGGGCACCATGGGCTGCCTTCTGAGCAGGGAGGCTCCATCACCAAGGTGCCAAGCAGGGCTGGGTCATGATCGGCTTTGCTGCTGGGGAGAAAGCTCCTGTCCTGGACTTCTGAGGGGTCTCCCAGCTGGGAGGAGTTCCGGGGTCCTTCTGCTCGGGATTTGAACCAAACAAGCAAAACGAGCCTGGAGAAATTTCCTAGTTCTTCCCTTCAGAGTCCATATGAGTTGGGATCGACTCGATGGCCGTGAGTTTGTTTTTTGGCATGGTTTCTTCAGAAGAGTCCGTTTTTGTCTTTCTTTAAAAGAAACATTAATTACCAGGTATCTCAAAAGCACATCCACATTGTAAAATAATGAAAGAATAGCTAAGAACGTAGAGATAAAGAGAGCCCCTTCCTACATACCCTCAAACCAGTCCTCTTGGTCAATGGAACCCATATTTATTTTTCAGATATTTGTTCTTTCAGAGACTCAAAAAGACCACACTCACTGCTAACAAATCAAGCCTGACACAGCTACCCTACAGGACAGGCCGACCTTGTGGTTCGCAGTCCAACGTGTAACCACGACACTATCGGGGTGCCTTCCAGAGATTGTTGGTATTTATATGCTGTACAAATAACGTCTTTTCAAGCGATTTGTATAATACATTGTACATTTTTCAAAATATTTTTTAAACTTAAAAAGATACCTTGGAACCCTCCTGGCAGCATATACCAGAATAGTGCATGGTTTCTGACCCCTCAATGCAGGGCTGCAGTAAGACCTTTGGGAGCCCTGCACGTCTGCCTCAGGGGTCCCTTCCCTACACAGGAAGTAGTACATTAATCAACTGCTTGATTAGTTAAAATTATACTCTATGAATGCATTGCTCTAATTCATAGAATCCATTCTGGACTATTTAATTATTATTATCATTTTTAATTTAATCATTTTATTTGGTGCTTGTACAACTCTTATCACAATATTTAATTATTTTTATGGATATAATTGTTAACTGAGTTTTCAATCAGAGGGCTTTTAAGATCCTTTTGTGAAAAAAGCCATTTTCACATTGAGCGGTTGCTGCAATGAACTATCTTCTCTTTAAGCATATGCTTAGGTATTTTCGAGAACACAGTCCTAGAGTTAGAATTGCTACATTGATAGGTATGAGCATTAAAAATATTTTTTTGGATAGATATTCCCCAAATACCCTTTCACAAGGGTAGCAACTGGCACTTTTTTTCCCAGTTGTCTGTGTTAGCTAGTGCTGCTTCAACAGAGAAACCCACAGTGGAGACTTTGATCAGAGAGACGCACCCTCTGAGCACTGAGGAGGCCTCTGTCCACATTCACATGCTGGCTCGAAGAGGGAGGCTTTCTCTGCTGGACCGAGGGGAAGGCGCTTGTCTCCTTTGCCCAGCTGGAGGCCCAGCATTCTTTAGAGTTCCGTGTGTCTTGGTAGCAGTCTTGGGTGTAGTGTCTCAGTGTGGGGACCCCAGGTCCAAACGACATGATTGGAACTTAACTTCTAGTGTGTCTCGTCTGCGGGACTCAGTACTGTTGTAACACCTCATAAGGCTTTGTAGACATCAAACCCGAGTACGTGCCTGGACTCACTCACTGCCATTGTGTCCATGCTGACTCCTTGGGACCCTCTGTGGCTTCCCGAGACTGTCACTGTTTATGGGAGGAGAAAGCCCAGTCTTTCTCCAGCAGAGCTGCTGGTGGTTTCAAACTGCTGACCATGTGGATCGCAGCCCAATGTGTAACCACTGCACCACCAGGCTCCATCAGTGCGTGGGCAGAAGTGGCATTATTACACCTCTGTGATTACACAGGCAGACCTTGGAGAGATGGTGGGTTCGGTTCCATACCACCGCAGTAAAATGAATATAGAAATAAAGCAAGTCGGGGGAATTTTTTGGGTTTCCCAGTACATCTAAAAGATATATTTCCATATACTCTAGTCTGTTAAAGAAACCCTGGCCATGTGGGCTACTTATTGGGCTGCTAACTGCAAGGTCAGCCATTTAAACCTACCATTCGCTCCTCGAGAGAAAGGCGAGGCTGTCTGCTCCCATAAAGATTTAGTCCCAGAAACCCACAGGGCCAGTTCAACCCTGTCTTCCCAAGTTTCAATGAGTCAGAATGAACTTGATGGTGGTGAGTTTGGCCTGACGTCATAGGTTTCGTGTGCAATCACATTGTGAGGAAATGGGAGTATTGTGAGAACAAGATGATGTCACGTGGGCTATATTGGAAAAAAATTATTTGGATAGATTTGCTTGACAGGGTTGCCACAGACCTATATTTTAATAATAAAAACATCTGTGAATGCACAAGAAAGCAAAATGCAGGACAACCGGCTATGCCTGCTTCAAACCCCTGCACCTGCACGGTGCACGGTGGGGACACGGTTGATGCTAGCTCTCTTCCAGCTCACTCCGTTTTTCCCCCTCCCTGCCCTCCTTTCTCTCCCTGGCCGCCGATGGACTTATTTTGTTCAGCAAACGTCTATTGAGTAATTACTGTACACAGACTTAGTGTTCAGTGGCAGGATCGTCTCTTCCCTGAAGGAGCTCAGGGTCTCACGAGAAGGGATCCAAAGAGGCAGTTCTGGAGCTGTTTCCAGATGGGCCTGTGCCCAGGGGGTGCCAGGAGCTCAGAAGAGGGGTCAGCCCCAAGGGGTGAGGGAGGTAGGAATGGTCTTAGGTCTGTAATACCGGAGCGGGAGCCAAGCCAGGGGCTGGGCTGGGGGCGAGAAAGGGAAAGGCTGGTAGGTGAGAGAGTCCTGTAAGCAGATGGCTGTGCTCTGAGTCGGGAAGAAGCAGGGCCGGAGAGGCAGTATGGACAGCTAGGCTTGGGGCCAGCTTATAAAACCAAAACTCACTGCTGTTGAGTTAATGCCGGTTCACCGATAGAGCAAGGTAGATCTGCCCCTGGCAGTTTCTGAGACTGTATCTCTTTATGGAATTAGAAAGCCTCATTGTTCTCCCTTGAAGTACCTGGTGGTTTCGATCTACAGACCTTGGGGCTAGCAGCTCAACCTGTACCCATTTTGCCACGAGGGCTCCCAGGGCCAGCTCTTCAGAGCCTGGTGAAGTCTGCGGAAGGCGTTTGCCAGTGACCCTTTGTCAGTGGGAGCCTGAGTGCATTTCATGTAGAGAAAGGGATGTGAGCAGGCAGAAGGAAAGAAGCTTTGAGGCCAGATGCCTGATTATGTTCCCTGAACCTCAGGAGAGGGTTCCAGGGGCTCGGGCACTAGGCTGCTGGCTGCAAGGTTGGCAACTCAGGACCCCCCTCCCCCCATCTGGTTGAGACAGGTTGCTCTGGTAAGGGGTGACAGAGTTGGGGACCCTGCGTAGGATCGCTGTGAATCGGCATCGGCTCAATGACAGTGGATTTGATAGACCTCAGTAGAGCGAGCTCTGGTGGGGCAACGGTTAAGCACTCGACTACGAACCCAAAGGTCTGTGATTTGAACCCACCAGGGGCTTCCTGGGTGAAAAGACCCGGCCCGTAAAGATTACACCCTGGAGAACCCACAGAGGTCGGGAGGCAGCGCTGTTCTGTCATTTGGGGTTGCTCTGAGTCAGAATTGGCCTGGCAACAACTCTCCTGGGGCTCTAACCTAGCCAGCCGAGCAGAGAGGCTAGGTGAACCTCTCTGCCCAGGACGCGAGCTTCTCAGCCTGAGAAGGAGGGCCCTGTCCACACCCCGCAGCGGTGTGGGAGTTCCGGAGCCAGCCCCCGGTGGGGAGCTGAAAGACCTGACCCAAGGCAGAGGCGTTCTCTGTGCAGTCTGAGGGTGTCCTGGGCTACCCACACCACATCTGCGCTTAAGGCAGCATCTCTGATCGGTTTCTGGATGCCCTCACCTACCACTCCTTGGGCACTGTGGGGAGTGGGCTAGGACTTCTTAGAGAGAATGAATTCTGAGATGCAGCCCCCTACCGGGAATTCTATAGGTTTATGGCATCCATTGAAGGTGCTTCACAGAAAGGGCTGGTCTATCGAGCTCACCCAGAGAGAGGCTGGGAAACCCGGCTTCCTTACCTCTGGCCCAAATTCGGCCTGTTCTTCACTGGGAGGCTTGGAATCCAGGCAGCTGCCTTTCTGGGTTTCCTTTGCACCTTGGCTGGGAGGAGGGACAGTCCTGTTTAGGATCCTGCTACCGTTGGAGTGGGACACCTTTGGTCCATCCAGCTAGAAAACACCTCCAGGGCTGACTGCTTTCAGGGGACACCTGGGCTGGGACTGACTGGATGCAGGAACAATGGCCCCTTGCCCAGGCACCCTCCTGCTGCCAAGGGAGGAGAAGCAGAGGGCCTGGCTGCCAACACCCATCTCTGCCACTCTAGTTCTCCTCACGGACCCCGAGCTCAATCTGCAGGAGACCATGGTGCCTGCCAAGCTGGGGACCCAGGCCGAGAAGGACCGGCGATTGAAGAAGAAGTAAGGGCCACAGCTACAAGGCAGGGTCTGTCAGTGAAGGTCAGCCCTCTCCCGACTCAGGAACAGAGTGCAGGGAGCCAGAGTCCCGCCGGATCCTATCCAGAGTGAACTGGTCCCTGTGGGAATACAGGGCTGGGAGGCAGTTCTCAGGACATCCCTCAGGGAAGCAGACAAGGGGGGCTGTGGGAGGGTGGCCCGGACCTCTGCGTTTCAGGCAAAGCTAATGGGGACGGCCAACTCTGTGTATCAGGTTAGATAGGAGCCAAGACCCTCTGGGGGAGGTAGAGTCTACTGTCCCATTTCTTGGTGTCCCTGCTCCAGGCCTGGGGCAGAGGTGGCAGCCCCAGGCTGGGAGGGCAGGGATCACAGGAGTCCGGCTCTTGGCATAGCTAGGGGGCTTCAGGAATGAGCGTGACCAGGAGAGAACAGCCCTTGTTTTCCCTTTTCCTGCAAGACACCAGCTGCTTGAAGATGCCCGCAGAAAAGGAATGCCCTTTGCCCAGTGGGATGGCCCAACTGTGGTTTCCTGGCTGGAGGTAAGCCTGGCAGAGAGTGTCCTCTCTCGGGCACAGCGGGAGGGAAGGGAGACTACTCAGGCTGAAGGTGGCATCCCTAGCACTCTCCAACCAAGTGCACTTGTACCCTATCTAGCGTGTAGTAGGGACTTGGGAAGACCGAGTTGAGGCTGTGCACCGAAGCCTTCTGGGTAATGAAGTTTGCATAGAACCAGGTAGTCTGAAGTTGATTCTGA